CTCATTGATAATTGTAATTAAAGTTAACACAATTTTACATTACACAATATTTACTAAATTCATTATTACAATATCTTGTTAGCTTTTATATGTCATATATATATATATATATATATCTACACACAAGTATAAATAAAAAATGTAATATTACAAATTGAATTGCCCAATGCAGTTTAATAATTGTATATAATTATGATAGCAAATACAATGTATAAAAAAAAAATTGAATTAAAATTAACACTGTTTTACACTTTATTTACTCAAAATGCATTATTATTATATATTTATATCTTTTCAGATTTTGGAATTAACACTGGCAGAATGACCACTTCTGTTAATACTGATAAATCTGAAAATAACCAAATATCAGACTACATTGATGTTTATCACATTATGCATACTGTATCAGCCATCAGCCATTGAGAAGCCCATAGAGGTCAACTGCACTTCCTCAAACACCTAGAGCTGTTTTCGAGTGTTTCGAGTCTGTCGTTTGTGGGCGCCATGTGAGGGATTCCCTGCTGCACACGTCCGTGCCTCACTTTAAGTGCTCGTGTGGATTATAAGGGCAAGTCTAGACCGCTCGCCCGAGTATACGCAGCCTCCAGCAGCAGACAGACCGCTGCTCTGATCTCACTGCCTGTCCCGGGACACTTCAAAGACCTGCGCTCTCAATGCCTTCTTCCGACAGGATCACAAGAGCGGGATTTTGTCTTTGACAATAATTGCAAGCATATCAAAAGCTGCATTCATCCACACATAAGCAGTCTGTGAGCACTTTGAGCCCGCGTTCACGTCTTAAAGACTTTTTTTTTTTTTGGGTGCGTAGGGTGGATGTAACACAAAAGTACTAGATAGGAAATGCCAGTGAATGAATTGGAAATACTTTGCAGTTTTTATTTTGCAACAGTTACAGCCTACTACTCTTTTTTTTTTGTGTGTGCGTTAGGCTTTGGGAATACTGAAATGACAGTCTTTTTTTGGAAAGCACCCTTATTCTCAACATGGAAGCACTCAAATTGTTGGACGCTGGTGGAAAATAATAATGCCTTTCTGTGGTTCATTTCCAATTCTGCAGTTCTTTTCAGTATTTCTGTAAGTGAGGAATCTTGGACAGTGTCCTATTGTGTTCATGTTAAACATGCAGTGCATAATTTGCATTATTTCTTTAAAGGCTACACAGAAGCAATCCATACACTTAATCAATCCATTTTATCGCACTGTTTGCAGTAAAACTTGACTTTCAGTCCATTTGGATTGTGCACTTGATGTCATTTATTGTAAACTAAATGTCTTACGTGATTTTACACTTTTTTTATGATTAAACCAAAGCAAACGAAGCGGCCAGTGAAGAATAAATCAAATTAAAGTGGAAGTACCAACCTCTTCCACTCCTGCCAACAAATCTCAGGTCGTTGAAACGTGCCACCTGATTCTTCATGACAGCTGAGGCGTTTCGCAGCTCTGCCGAGTAGTTCTCGTCATTTCCTGCCATAACTGTCACCACCGTCCCGTCAGAAACATCTCCCAGAGCAACAACCTGAACAGAAACGGACACACTGTGACTGTCCCGCTGTAATTTACCCTGCATTTCACTGCAGTCTGACTGTTTATTCATATTCTGATGAAAACAGGCCTGTGATCCTGATTGGAAGTGACATTATGAAGCGAGACTGCTGGCCTCAGAGGGTTAATAACACGATAAATCTATTAAAACCTGCAAATATAGCACTAAACAAAAGCTAGATTGTTTTTAAATGTGACCTTTTAAATTGTGTATGTAAGACATTCCACTTAAATTGGTCAGAAACCTCAGTATAACGCAAATACACCAATACTGTAACTTTACTATTGAACAGTGAGCATAAAATCTAAAGCAAATGTATTCAACAGACTGTCAAAAATATATTCCAATTTTGTTAAAATGTAAGCATTATGAAAATTGAAATAAATATATAAGAAACTTTTATTTATTGCCAAAAATGATATAGGAAAATATTTAGTAATTTTGTTAATATATACTTTTTTTTCTTAAATGCACAAAGGTTACTTTGTGCCACTTTTTTTTTTTTTTTTTTCAAAACTTGGATTTTGCTATAAAATGCAAATTCTACAAGCAACTAAATCTTATTTGAGAAAAACAACAAACAGCAAAAATGAGCTTTAATTCAGGCGAATGTTTTGGTGTTCAGTGTGAGCAGGAGGGCTCAGATTTACAAGCTCAAATAAATGAACAAAAGTATGTTTACAGAATAAGCCCGAGCGAAACGATTCCTGCTACAGATACTAGCTGCAGTCTGTTCGTATGAAATACTCTATCTTTAGTGAAAGTGTTAATAGTTGTGTGTAATTTAGGCCGTGTGATTAAACATGCACGTGTTTGTGTCTATGAATAGCTTCAAATCTCTCAGATTTCACTTGTCTCTCTCCAGCACTGCAGGATTCCTCATTTGAAACATCTGCAGCTCCCATAAATTAACATCTGATCTGAACATGTAAATAATAATGATAATGATAAAAAAAAATACTATTAAATCCATTAAAGCACACCTGTTTATGTGGAAAAGAAACACTGATAAAACATTATATATATTTTTTTTTATCAATAAGTCATTGCAATAGTAAAAACCTGCAGATTGTTTTTGGTTAAAAGTTTTAAAAGTAGTTAAAAGGGATAAAAGTTTGATTAGATTTGAGATCTATTTAAATTTTTCTACTTGCAAACTGTCCTGAAACTTTGAGATTACATTTACATAAACAGTTAGAAACTTTTATTGTAACTATTATAAATGATTGCATTTTCTTTCCTGCTCATATTAAAGTGTGTTTGTATGTAATGTTGTGTATTTTGAATGCTGTCTGGATGTTGGCCAGGTCTCGTAAAAGAGATTCAAATCTGAATGGGACCAATAATTCCCTGGTTTAAATTTATACTAAAAAATACCTTCGTAAATGAATGTAAAAGATGCACTGATCTATTAAGTATTAAAATGTCGAAAATGAACAGATCACTAGTTAAAGTGCATGCAAATAGCCAGAAATCGCCCATATAAAGTTTAACAATATGTAAATACTGGTCTGTTAAACATCATATGATGTTTGTAAAGAAACACGTTTCTTAATCACATCTTATTAAACCGTCTTTCTGACCTTAAACGCCACCGGGAGAGTTTTGTTGCACCTCCAGTGAGACGGCAGCACTGAGCACAGAAAGTTGGGGCTGTCCGTCCGCACGAGCTCGGCGGGGTGGTCCGCGATGATCTCCACCATCGTCCGGTTGTCGTGCTGTCGGAGTCTCGGCAGCGCCGCGTTCTGCTCCTGCTGCGCATCGCTCATCTTCCCCGCCACCGGCTGAAGGCTGCTGGACGGCGGACTGAACCTGCGGCTGGTGCTCGGATCTACCGGAATGCGCATCACAACAATGTCAGCAAAGGTAAGGGCACTTCAAACCAGCACCAAAGTCAAGAGTTTTCGATTCAAAATAGATGGGATCTATAGGAAGTCCGTTAGGCGCTTTCCAGAAAGCGAAAAAGTTGGATACGGTCGGTCCCCCTCAGGCTTTACGCGCGAGCTCTACAGGTGAATCGCGTGGAAATAAACGCGCGGGAGCTCCTGGTTATGCTCAGAAGAACCACCGACATAATTTACGAGGCGATCTTGCTTCTCCTTTGCAGTAACAAACGTCAAAATCCGGAATAAAAGCGAGTCGCTTCTCATTACGCGCGGCGCTCGCTCGGAGAGAGTTCACTTCAACGCGCTTCCTAAAACGTGCCACCATATAAGAAGTGAAAAAAGAAAGTTAAGAAGTTTGCAAAAGTCCTTAAGACCTTTCTTTCTCCATGCAGAGTCTTTGTGAAGGGTTAAAAAGGTGATTCCGAAGGTTGTGGTTAGAAAGATGAAGGCGCTGGAAAGCCGCAGTGTTTTGTCTCGTTGTGTGGTTTGTCTTAGGAGGCAGGGACTTAGGTGAGCTCCGTTTTTTTGTGGTTTATATATATATGCAGAAGCAGGAGGATTATTATGCTGATGAGTCTTGAGCACGTCATGTCTCCAAGCACCATTTCGTGGCATCACAATAAATGAGCAGTTCAGTGGTTTGACATTTTCTTGTCTTACCAAAGCAATGCAGCAAATACCACACAGAGACAATCTACAGCAGCACATTTGTGCTTGAATAGACTATCTTAAAATGTTAAGATCAAGCAAATACGTTCCAAGTTCAATAAGGATATAAAAGACGAACTTTATATTAAGCAAAATATTCAACAATATATGCTTTATTATGGTAACAGGGTGAAGCCAGCGAGTTTTCTTTCACTGTTCACTACTGAGAGACATAAAGGCTCATGAAGAGACATAAACACAACTCATTCAAATCCAGACAGAAAGCAAACAAGTGAAGAGAAGAGAAGTGACTCATTTCCTATTTCTAAAGACAGATAAAGAGCCCGGGCTAAAGTTAATATTATACAAGATCAGACAACAACAAAAGCACAGAAGTCACGACAACAGCATTCGAGTATATGGAACCAAATTACGACCCTTTGTTGACATTTAAAATGCATATAGCTTATTTTAATATTTTTTGTCTCGTTATTATTTTTTTATATGCAAAGAAGGAAACATTAATACTACAGAAAGTCAGGCAATAACACGATAAAAACGATAATAATATGAATAAAAATTATAAAGTACAAAATAATCATTTAAGTCATACTAATATTTTCTAGTTTTTTTTTTTTTTAAATGTAGCTACTACGCATTTAAGTTATGTTAATAATTTTAGAGTGTATTAATGTTTTATATAATTATAAGTTTTGAAAATCTTTTTTTTTTTTTAACCGTATGAATCTCAAAAGCTCTTTTGGTGGCGCTCTTTAACGTTTAAATTCGTCTATTATTATGCGACGAGGGCAAACGCAGAACTACAGCAGTGCTCGCTTGCTACCGCAAGCTATTGCGTTTTATAACCGTTAAAAACTCCATTACCCACAATCCCTGGCAGACCCGCGTGACGCCAAATAGACACGCGCTGACCAGTGTGTTTACATCAGAGACAAGTGCCTCGCAGTTTGAAAGAGCACATGTGGATGGATTGAATAATTCATAACGTAAGGTAAAAAAATGTTCAGTTAACGTACTTAAACGTGTGAGGTTAATATTCAGTTCTGGCCATTTGTTTATTTAGTCTGACCGTCAACCGAAAGCGAGACTCGAAAGCTTCTGTTTGTTCAGTTCGAGTCACTGTTTATGTTTATATTTCATAAAATGTGTTATAAACAGTATTACAAACATCAGTATGCCTTTATAATGTTGACACATTTTATTTGAAATACTATTAGCTGTTTGTATTCTTTGAAATGAAGTTGTTAGTTATAGTAAATAGCTTTTTGACAGCGTATTAGACTGTCATGTAACGTTATAACAAAATGCTAAGCCAAACGAGCTAGCCGGCATGCAAGTTGTTTGTGCAAAATCACAATTCGATGAAAAAAATCGCAAATAGCTTATTCTAAAGTCCCGTGTGCCTGTATTAGTTGAGGTTTCATACTATTTTCTAATTTCCACAGTCAATTCTGTGTTTTATTCTGGAGAGAAAAAAAGGAAAAATCACATCCCCACTCTGTGTCTAGCCTGACTTTCCCTCATGTGTATTGTTTGTAAAACCTTGGCTGTTTGAAAGACTAGGAAGAGTGATGTCAGCACTCGACATGAAGTCTGACTCTGTGGAAACTTCACACACACACACACACACACACACACACACACACACACACACACACACACACACACACACACAACC